TTACAGGTTGTTCAAGGAACCCAATAAATCATTACAGGTTATTCAAGGGACCCAATAAATCATTAAAGGTTATTCAAGGGACCCAATAAATCATTACAGGTTGTTCCAGGAACCCAATGAATCATTATAGGTTGTTCAAGGGACCCAATGAATCATTACAGGTTGTTCAAGGAACCCAATGAATCATTACAGGTTATTCAAGGAACCCAATGAATCATTACAGGTTGTTCCAGGAACCCAATGAATCATTACAGGTTGTTCAAGGGACCCAATAAATCATTACAGGTTGTTCAAGGAACCCAATAAATCATTAAAGGTTGTTCCAGGGACCCGATAAATCATTACAGGTTGTTCCAGGAACCCAATAAATCATTAAAGGTTGTTCCAGGGACCCGATAAATCATTACAGGTTGTTCCAGGAACCCAATAAATCATTACAGGTTGTTCCAGGAACCCAATAAATCATTACAGGTTGTTCCAGGGACCCAATAAATCATTAAAGGTTATTCAAGGGACCCGATAAATCATTACAGGTTGTTCAAGGAACCCAATAAATCATTAAAGGTTATTCAAGGAACCCAATAAATCATTACAGGTTGTTCAAGGGACGCAATAAATCATTAAAGGTTGTTCAAGGGACCCAATAAATCATTAAAGGTTGTTCAAGGGACCCAATAAATCATTACAGGTTATTCAAGGGACCCGATAAATCATTACAGGTTGTTCAAGGGACCCAATAAATCATTAAAGGTTGTTCAAGGGACCCAATAAATCATTACAGGTTGTTCAAGGGACCCAATAAATCATTACAGGTTATTCAAGGGACCCGATAAATCATTACAGGTTATTCAAGGAACCCAATAAATCATTACAGGTTGTTCAAGGGACCCAATAAATCATTAAAGGTTGTTCAAGGGACCCAATATATCATTAAAGGTTGTTCCAGGAACCCAATGAATCATTAAAGGTTATTCAAGGAACCCAATGAATCATTACAGGTTGTTCCAGGGACCCGATAAATCATTATAGCTTGTTCCAGAAACCCAATGAATCAGTACAGTACAGACATTCCAACAAATTATTACAAGTTGTTCCAGAAACCCTGTAAGTAAAAATCATTCTAATGCACCCCATCTATCACAGGCTTTCTGCTACTAGTAGAATTTAAAATGAAAGCATGTGGTCCCCAGAATCACAGTTGTATGAGTGACTATTCCAGTGGTGTGAAACCTTCAAACACTGGGAATGTGTTCACAGATGAAAATCTGAGTTGTATTGACAGACAAAACAAACAAAAAACTTACAAGTCTGGCTTCTACAGATTTATCATTTGTATCCAGCTCTGCATTATGTTCTATAGTTTGGCTTGTATTTGGCACATCAACAGGTAATGTATGCGTTAAACTTAATGTCTTTATTCCAACTAGAAAATAAAACATAATCATTGCCACATTGCAGAATGGAATTATCCAGGTTGTCTTAACATACATCAACATAAAAATGACCATGATGCAACATTTCCTAAAAATAGAACGTAACTATAGGAAATTGTTCTACACATAAAACAAATCAAGACAGGAAGCAGATAAAGACATTTTCAACCCAGAATGCATCACTTCTCTCTTTTGTTTCTGTGATTTGTTGTGAATCACAAGAAGATTTACTGTCTAAATCGTTTAAGAGGCATATCTGTTGCTATTTGAATAAAATGTCTTTATATGAATAACTCATCAAATATTGTAAAAATTCATTTGTGTAAACAGAACCATTTGAAATAAAAAGTACTGAGATTTGCTTACCTGTTGTAATTTCTGCAATACCAGAATCAATACCAGCAGCTTCTTTGGTTTTGATCAAAGGACGATCTAGATATTCTGGAACTGTGCGACTCCTGCGGTGATTGCGAGACTCTCTACGAGCTATAGCTGTCTGGTTTTCAACACCACCCTGTATAATAACAAAATAAAACACTAGTACCTTATACAAGTAGCATATAAAACCATGCAGAAGTGATGGAAAGAGAAATCACGTGTGAAATGTTATCTTTATGGCTACAGTTCAGGTACTGGTTAAGTATTAAATTAATTCATAAAGATAGATAAGTGAATGAGTACATATATTTAATGGAAGATAACTATTACCATTAACTATTAACAAGGTGAAAGAAATGAATCACAGTCTTGGTAAATCCTTTACTGCCACATTCACTTATTAAATATGCTCTCCAGCACAAACCAAACAACTCCTTTCAGGGCCAACATATCCTCCAAAAAGAGAACTACTGTACAAATATTCATATACTTTTTGCATGAAGGACTTTGTAAACATTGTTTTGGCATTCTCAAGGGCAATATATATATTTTTTTCTAGAAGAGAAAACATTTTTATGACTAGTCAGACTAACTTTGGCATTTTGGAAGGGGTGGGCACTCTTCCGAATGTGACCCTGAATATAACAATTGCGCAAAAGTGGGGGGTGGTCACTTGACCAGGCATGGGTGATAACGCGGCCAAGTACAGTAACTTTATTAACTGGCAATGACCTTGGAAGAAAGTGTATTATATGAAAATATCTTGATCAGTAATAACCCATAAACGGAGGTCATTTGCATATATATCATAATTTATTGCTGAAGATTTTAAAACCAAGCAGCCCACTGATCGGTTATTTAAATCACAGAACATAGAACATGTACAGTATATCATTATGGCTTGTCTTTGTACAAACTTTGACACAGATTTTTTTTTTATGGCACATGTTTTTGAAAAATGTTTTTGTAATTCAGAGGACATCTTCATAGATCCATATCAACAGTTTACTTTTTCACCACTTGACTTTCTTGCCTAAATTTGTCTGCACTTTTTTTTTTTTTATATTCTTCAATATTTCTCGAAATGAAACCTCTTATTGGAGCCAACAGACAAAAATTGAGTCATTTATCAGTTTTTACCCCAAAAAATGTCCCAATCTTCTGAAGGAAAGTGCAGACCATAAACAAGATTATTTTGTGAATTTGTGATGAAAAGAGGAAACTGGTGGTGAAAAAGTTAATACACATGATCAAAAGCATTATCTACTAAATTTGAATGTTGTTGTGGTATTGAATAATTTTAATATAAAATGAAAATTAAAGCCTGGAACAAAAATCAAAACTTTTTTGTTGTTATAATAGTATTGGGGAAGTTCTTACCTGTAACGGAAATATATCCCGCACATCTGGAACAGTGGATGATTTGTATCTTTTTCGTAATGTTGCATTCAGTGTGTTGACACGTTTTTGTACAGCTGCTGCCTGTGTCTTTGTTAATGATGATGTCACACTATGCAAAACATCAGCTTCAAGTTCCTTACCCTCTACAAATTTATAAAAACATAAAACACATTTAGTATCTTATTTCTGCATTGCTACATCTTTCTGTCTGTGACTGCCTTCTGAACAAACATTTGAATACCAAAAATTACAGAAAATGTTACATAGTTCATACCCACCATAGACTCCAATCAGTCAAAATGACTATTTTGCCATGTGCCTCGGTCACGTGGGTTTGTGACGTAAGGGGTGAAAGAATCTTGGGGTCATGGGGCTTCCCCTGACCTAGATTCTATCTCTCCGTCACCGGCAGAATCGCTGATTAATGCCTACAGTTCAAAATTGTCATTTTGACTGACCGGAGTCCATGGTGGGTAATTGAACGTAGTGAATTGGACAAATTCAATTGCAGTAGTCAAAAATAGCATTTTCTTGAAGAAATGACAATGGTATACCCCCCTCCCCTCGAAAAAAAAATCTAACAAAGCACAATCCATTGAACCTAATGCCAATCAATCTGAAAGTAACATTTTTTAAACCAAAATTTAAAAAAAAATATACTTAAAAAGAAAGAATTTATGCAATTATTATAAATGCACATATTCCACCATTGGTTCTCACAACTTGTATAAATTTCTGTTCATTTACATTATGGGCAAAGCAGAAATGATAAATGTAGTTCAGCCCAAAACAGTAGTGATGTGATGTGATGGAAGGAACATAGTGATTATAAATAAATGTCAGTATTCTGTCATATACAACATTTTGACTATGTCTAGGAAAAAAACAATCTAACAGAAATATATTTAACTCTACAGACTTCACACCAATACATAATATGTACACATCAACAAATCTTTAATTAAACATACATGTACCTTCAAATTTAGATGCTAATAACTCAAAACCAGCTTCTTTCAACCATGCCACTTCTTCTTCGCCTTCTAATAGTATAGAAAATAAAAAAAACACTGTATGTGAAAATTTTTAAATAGTATGAAATAGTTGCTATGGCAATCATATTCCATCTAAAGTAATTTACAGGTTAAGGGTTAATTATTGAGTGGTGTCATATCAAGTAAAATGAATAATGGTAACTACATAAAAATGACTTAGTTCATCCACAATGCATCTTACCATCTGGCGTCTTTGGAGTGTCTTCTTCAGTTATTTCAGTTTCATCTGTTGGCTTATTTTCTTCGATGTCTTTTAATTCATTTATATAAATATCTAGTTCATCAGATTTACCAATCCGTCTACTCTCCATTTTAATCTAAATTCATGGAAATGAAAATTTAGAATGAATTTTATTCAGCAGAGACTAATTTATAAAATCTTTCATCAAAGCTAGTAATAGAATAGATGTGTGTTCAACTCAAGACTATATTATTTTTTATTGGATCACAAAATCTGCATGTACTACACAGCAAAATTTGTAATAACAAGCCATGCATGGCACAGTCCCCGTTAGTTATCAAATTTAAGATATATAGTTTTGTTTATAGTAATATAGCTAGAATATAATCATTTCAGGAATATGCTTTTTAACATTAAAATGATTGACATTTGTATCTGATCATCACAAAAGTACTTCTCCATATTGAGAGATATTGCTCTGGAACAG